CAGGGCGGCCAGGACCCGTCCAGCATATCGACGTCTACGGCTCGGACGGCACGCTCAAACGTGTCGAACCTCTGCATCCGGGAGCTTTGCGCGGTCCAAGGTCCAGGTCAGTGCAGGAAGCCCGTATGCCGCGAGTTATCGCTCAGCTGTCCAGCTGTCCTCCCTGTAGCTCTTATCCTCTGCCCTGGTTGCTTCCCTCGTCGGAATCACAAATGCATGGCCCTTCGGGGGCAGGAGTGGGAGCTGGCAGAGGAGAAGAGACGAGAGGCGGCGATCGCGGAGGAGGACTTGGAGCAGTCATGGATGCATGAACAGGTTGTGCGCGCTGAGGGTTAGCTGCGCGCGGCCGCCCGCCTTCAGGCTGAGGCGGGCCGCGCCGCCATGGTGCGCGCCCTCGAACGTGCTGAGCAGCGGCAACAGGCGCCTGCCGCCGTGCAGGCCAAACGCATCTGCCGAGCTACGTGGGCTGGCTAACATGGTTGAGGCTTTAGCCGCGACCGAAAAGTGCGCCCAGGATCTCGAGAAAAATAAAGCTGCGGAGGGTAGGCGCGTCGTCCGGGTGGCTGGAGGGGCCCAGGCGTATCGAATTGGGCGGGAAACCGCGCGCGAGTCTTTCCACGGAGGCTTTCGGTGGAACTCTGTGGGGCCACTGAGAGCGTGATGGGGGTTTGTCGAAGTGGGCAGGGAATCGCGGGCGAACCCTGCCTGTGGGGCCGCCGGAGGAGCTCCTTATGTGGCCGCGAAACGTGTTAGGTATGTGCCGACATGGGCGGGGAACCGTGTGCGAACCTTGCCGTAAGGGGCTGTGGGTGGAGTTTCCCATGGGGCCACGAAGCGTGCGGTGTGTGTGTGTGTGTGTGTGTGTGTGGGAAATTGTCATGCACCGGTGGGAGGAGGGAAGACGCAGGGAGGGAGACAGGGAAGAGGAGAGGAAGACGCGGGGCGCTGCCGTCTGTTCAAAATGAGGACACAGACAACGTACAATCATTCGAACATGTTCGTTCCGTGCAGGAACATGGTGGACGTCAACAGGTCGCCCAGGTTAACCGACGGTACAGTTGGCAAGGACATGCGTTTATGAACCGACCCGCGTTCATGTGCACGATCCACGACACATGTCTCATCCTTTCCAGCTGTGATGTGGGGGCCCACGCCATTTGGAACAGTTTTTCTGGCGGTATTCAGCCCTCTTGGAGGCATTGTGGAAGTCATCATGAACCACATCGGGCTATGTTGTGCCATCCGAAAAGGCCGTCTTGAGCTCTTTGCGGCCATGGTGGGGCCATCTTTGGCCGTGTTGGACTGTCTAAATGGTCGCGCAATCAGCTGTCCAGGCCTAAGGGACCTAAGGTGTGTGTGTGTGTGTGTGTGCGGGTGTGGGGGTCGATAATCCAAACCGCAGGCCGCGTCGTTCTCTCCCACCCGCCCTACACTCGGGTCTCAGCACGGGCAGGCCTGCCATCGGCAACCATCGAAAACTAAGGCAGACGCCAACCAGGTGCGCGATGCCCGCAAGGTGCGCCGCGCGTGCCAGGTGCACCACGCGGGCCAGGTGCACATAATCGAGCAATCTGTTGCGTGCCCCACACTTTTTTTAAATAAAAACCAATGCAACGGGATCGCGGGTTTCCGAGCATTGTGTGTGTGTGTGTGTGTGTGTGTGTGTGTGTGTGTGTGTGGGTGCGCCCGCAATCGTTTTACATTTTTTTGGACAGGCGTAGTATGCCCCCCCCGCCGTTCTATGCAAGAAGTGAGCATTGCATGTTTTGTTCCAGTGCGCGTAGCCCCCGCTGCCGCTGGCGTTGGTGGTGCCTCTTGGGCCTCGCGGTCGCCATGCCCCCCGCCCCTGTGGCGGGTTTGGGGCTACCGTCCATCCCCGGCTCCGCAGCCCTGGCTTGCGTGGCGAACGCGCGCTACGCTGCCGCGGGGATCTCCCCCTCGTTCCGCCACTACGGCCGCTGCTCTCAGTTCAGCCCGCCTTGCAGCCTGCTCAGCCTCGTCCCTCTGCATTTTGCCAGTTGGGACGTTGTTTGGCTCCGATGCCGCTGGTCCTCGCGCCCACCCCAAAGAGTGGAAAACTCCTACAGGGTGAACAACCTATGGAACATGATTTTGGCCTCGCGGTTTTTTGTTTGGAGGCCACTGAGGGGCCTCTTGGGCCGTCTTGTAGGCTTCTTGGGCTGTCTTGTGGCCATCGTGGACGTCTTGGTGCGATCTTTGGGCGTCTCGGGTCCTGGCCTCTGGGTGTGGTCGGGACGCCGCCCCGAGCCCGTTGCCAGGCGCCGCGCCGGCTTGGCTGCCCCGGGCGCCCCGTTGCGGTCCCTGTTGCGTGGGCGTATCAATTCCGTCTCCTTCTCCCGCGGCCGTTCCTCAATTCCCCCTCGTTCCCTTTTTTGCACCCGGGCAATTTGCAATGCCGTCGCCCGCTTGCCCGAGCGCGCGTGCGGACTGCCTCTGCCGCGCTGCGACGTAAACGTATTGTGTGAACGGATAGTGGGCGGCTCTGCGCGCGGTAGGCACAATGCCGGCCCCTCCGCCGCCCCCATCAAAACCCAATGCCCAGTGATCGCAGGGCGTCCGCGCATGATCCAGATTTTGATGTAAAAGGCACTTCGTATGTTTGTTTTTTGTCAACGGATGGGGGGGGTGTTGGCGCTGTACGCAGCAGGCAGTCTGCTGGCAACACCGCCGCCTTCGCCAAGAACCAATGCAAAGTAATCGCGGGGCGTCCTTGCATGATCCAGAGTTTGGTGCAGATTGCCCTTTAGATTGTCTTCTCTAAGGGATGGTGGGGGGTGTTGGCATTGCGCACAGCAGGCAATATGCCAGCACTGTCGCCGTCCTTGTCAAAAACCAGTGCAAGGCGATCGCACGGCGTCCGCGCATGATCCAGATTTTGGTGCACATGGCATTTTGTAATGTTTGTTGGACGGATGGTGGGGGTCCTGCATGGTCCCGGGGTTGTCGCCGGTCAGCTGTGTGTGTGTGTGTATGAACAAGGAACAGTGATCAACCCTTGCCCGAGTGGGAAAGAGGTTGGAAGAACTATCTCCTCAGACCACCTACCTTTAAGGGGTGACGAGATTCCTGTATGGGGCGCCACGCATCTCCGGTGCGCCGATTCTGAAGCAGGTCGCTCACGTTGCAGTTTTGGACAATTTTGCAGTGCTGCGCCAGTTCAGAATCCGTGAGACGCCAACACTTTTGGGGATGTCCGTTGTTTCGTTCGTGTGGGTGTGAAGGGCTGTCTTCTTTTGCCGTCAACGCTGGCTGCCGCCCATTGCGCCAGTCGAGATGGAACTCTTGCGTGGTTCAGAGCTCGTTGCGTGAGAGTCTCTGCTGGTGATTTCTGATGGTTCCCAGGCCCGGTGCTCCTCCTTTTCTTAACATCGTCGTCATCGTCGTAATGCCCTTTTACGTTCCTCCCCCACCCCCCCGACCCTATGCCCGCCGTTCCTTGTCTCCTCGCCCCTCCCCTGTTGCCCCCTTGCTCATCCCGTTCCCCGCATGGAGGGTGACGATGATGATGATGGTGATGATGATGCTGATGATGATGATGATGATGATGATGACGATGCTGATGCTGATGCTGATGATGATGAGGAGGACGATTCAGATGATGATGATGATGTTGTTGATGATGCTGCTGATGATGATAATAGAACACATATGATGCTGATGCTGTTTATTATACTGATGATGATGCTGATGAAGAATAATATGATGATGATGCCGATGATCATGATGATGAAGATGAAGATGAATATGCAGATGAATCTGATCATGATGATGATGCTGCTGATGATGATTATGATGATGATGCTGATGATGATGATGATGATGATGCTGATGCTGCTGATGATGCTGATGATGACGATGATGATGACGATGATGATGTTGGTGATGGTGCTGCTGCTGATGCTGATTATGATGATGCATATGTTGCTGCTAGGTTGAGGACGAGAATGAAGGTGAAGGTGAAGATGAGAAGGACGAGGAGGAGGAGGAGGAGGAGGAGGAGGAGGAGGAGGAGGGTGGATATATTCCTGGGGAAGGGCCCCAGCATTCGGAGCAACCTCCGACTGCTCCGTCGATTGTGGTGGCCCTTGGGGAGATCGGGGTCCTCCTCTTTCCTCCGCCTCCTCCTCCTCCTCCTCCTCCATCCTTTCGTCCTGATAAATAGCTCCTCCCTGTCGCACCCCGGGACGTGTTGCTAGGGCGGGTTGGACGTTTTGAAGGGACGTCTTCCACAGTTCTGATCTTGAGTATTGGATTTTGCAACTGTTTCACGGTTGGAGGGCTGATGGTTTTCGAAATGTGGTTCTCGCTTTAGCGCCGCGCACAGTCGTCTCAAAAGGTCACAGCAGCTCCCAGGATGGATCGTGGGTGACATTCAATATGTGGCTCTTGCTGTTGCACCGCGCACATTCGTCGGTTAATCTTGCAAGAATTTCACGGATAGAGGGTGGGTGGTTTTCAACATGATGCTCTCGCCTTAGCGCCGCTCGCATTCGTTTTTGATCCTTGCAACCGTTTCAAGGATGGTGGGCGGTGCCTTTTCGAAGTGTGGCTCTCGCCTCAGCACCGGACTCATTCGTCTCGTAAGTTTTTCACGGTTCACGGATTCGTGTAGTCGAAGTCCCAGGAATGGTGTTCTTCCACGATCTAAGAATTGTCGGGACGCAACAGTAACGTTGACTCGCGGTGTTGAAGTCCCAGGAACGGCGTTCTGGCACGGTTCGTGGCTGTCAGGCCGAACAGTCCGATCTGTGGCGTTGAACTCCCAGGAACTGTGTCTTGGCAGGATTGAAGATTCTCAGACGGTTGCCTTGCAATTGGCCACTTCCCGCAATGCAAGTTTTGGAAAGGGACCTTACGAAGGCGTAGCTTGGAGGGAGGGTTTATTGCAACACCGTTGATGCGTCTTGGGTTTAAACTGGTGCTTCTCCTCCTCCTCGACGGTCGCGCGAGAACGATCACAGCTGGGCGGAGGAGGGCAGGAGCTCGACAACAACACCATGGCTGCCGCGATCGCCGTCGTTGTCATCGGTGCTTTCACGGGGTCAGTGAATTCACTAAGTCATCGTGCTGTCTGCTTGCGCCGCACGCTTCCCATGGATGTTGACGTACACTTGTGTGCAGTGCAATATAGTAATCGTGGATGGGAGAAAGTAGTGGCGAGGAGGAGAAGCAGAGGGCGGGGAAGTGGCAAGTGAACCAGTGTGGAATGAGTGTGTGTGTGTGTGTGTGTGTGTGTGTGCGTGTGTGTCAGCATGACTTTTTGCTACTAGCACCCTGCTGCTGTAGCGCTTCAGCTCCTTGCGTTGAGCTACGCTCCGCGGGATGCTTGGCCGTTGCACTTTACTGGCTAATTAGCACCAGACATGCTGCCCGCGCTGTAACTTCTGGCGTCGAACTATGCTTCGCGGGATGCTTGGCCGCTGCACTTTGGCTTTGCAGTGCCTCATCTTCTCACCACTGCCACCTGTCTGCATGGTCGTGGTCGGATTCTTTCAGCACGACGCGTTCGAGTGAGTTCGTTCGCAATTGGCACCTCCATCAGCCCACCATGTCTGAGGTTCCTCTGCGCCGCCGACTAAAAAGTGTCAGCATGACCCACCAGCAGTCCCGCGCCGACCTACACTGTTTGATCCGGCTCCGCCTTATCTGTTTTCTCGTCTCTTGCTCTGTCGCTCCGTGCCTGTATTAGCTTCTGGAGCAGCCCGCCGCTCGCTTTGACCAGCGCCTTACCGTCCCGCACACCTTGGCGCCCGCGGGGTTGAACAGTGTGCGCGTGTCTCGTCGGGCCGCCCCCCAGGTGCTACCCAGTCGCCTGCGCCCCCGAGGTGGGGCCATGCAGTGCCGGCGCTCGTCGTGCGATGGATCCGGCCCGAGGGACATCCGCACTTCCTGCAGGGAGTCCTGGCTGTTCCTTTCCTCGTGGGCTGCCATGGTGGGTCCTCTTCGGAAGCGGCCCACGCGAGCGCTCCGCCTGAACGGTGCTTGTGCCAGCGCTGATGCGTCGGTGCTTCGGCGGCCACGCCCTGGGGCGCCGTGGCTTTCCCGCGCCGCTCCATCCTCGACTCGTTCCTCCTTCGCGTTTCCGCTCTCGCTGCCCTCCCCCCGTCGGCCGCCCACGCCTGGCGCGGCCGCCGTCTGCGCTATCGGTTTTCCTGTCCTTTGGGGCTCCCTCGTTCAACGTTTCGCGCCTTTGCGGATCCATCCTTCCCGCCGTTGCGGTTTCCTGCCGCTTCTCCTTGCGCCCCCCTTCCCACCCCAGCCGACGTCGGTGCTCCTGGCTCCTAGTTGCGCCCTCCTGCCCACAACGTTCCGTTGCCGTTTGTTTCTTCGCCCTGTGCGCGCACTTTTCGTGCGTTTACTGCGCCGGCCGTTCACTGCGCCCCCAGCTTGCCTACCCCTCGTTAGGGCTCTGTTTCCTGCCGGTTCCCACCCCGGGTCTCTCCCCTGCCCCCGCTGCTATCTTCGCGATTGCCCCCTTCGCCAGTGATGTTGTCGACCTCGTAAGGGTGGGTCCAGTTTCTCCGCGCCGCGTGATCTCGGCCGACCCGCGCGCGATTTCTGATCGACCTGCTGTACGCCGCGCCTCTGTACGCGTGGCCGCGACGCCAAACATGAATGTGTGTATGTACGTAAGCTTGTATGCGTGTATGCGTATATGTTTGCTTGTTTGTTTGTTTGTTTGTGTGTGTGTGCTTGCGCTTGTAGGTATGAACGCGTGCATACATGTATGTATGTGTTTATGCATGCATGCATGCATGTATGTTTGTATGCACATTTACACATACATAGATGCACACACATACATATATTTATATTAATGTACGCATATATGTATGCATGCATGCAGGCATGTGTGCTTGTATGTGTGCATGCATGTATGTATGTGTGTATGTTTGTATGCCTGTATGTATGTATATAATTTGATGTATTTGAGTGCAATGTAATGTGATGCATTGTAATGTAATGTATTGTATTGAATGTAGTGTACTATAATTCAGTGTATTGTAAGGTAAGTACTTATGCATGTATGTATGCACGCATGCATGCATTCATGCATGCATGTATGTATGCATGCATGTATGACTGTATGTATATATATATATATATATATATATATATATATATATATATGTCTGTATGCATGTATGTTTGTACGCACGTATGTATGCCTGTATGGCTGTTTGTACGTGCGTATCTATGCATCTCTGTATGTATGTACGTACGCATGTATGTATACATATAACGGCGCACCGGGTCCGGGGGCCCGGGGCCGGGACCTCGACCGCAAATGTGCACCCCGGGGGGCCCGGAGGCTCGTCGGGGCTTGCCGGAGGCCTCCCCGGTCAGACAAGACGGCCCCAGAAACGCCCAAGACGGCCCAAGAAACTTCCAAGAGGCCTCCAAGAGGGCTCCGAGATGCTGAAGATGGCCTCCAGACGTCCAAGGACGCCCCCCAAGACGCCCCAAGAAGCCTCCAACATGCGTCCCAAGAGGGCCCCTAGACGCAAAAATTGGCCCATTCCCTTCGTAAAACGTACATTTTTCACAAAGTTGCCTTTTGGGCTTTCCGACATTACAGGACGGCCCAAGAGGCGCCCAAGACCGCCCCAAGACGGGCCAAGAAGCTCCCAAGAGTGCCCCAGGACAGCCCAAGAGGGCCCCAAGACGGCCCAAGAGGCGCCCAAGATGGCCCAAGAGGGCCCCAAGACGGGCCCAAGAGGGGGCCCAGATGGGGGACCACGAACCGCAAGCTCGAGCCTTCCGCCCCAAGAGGCCGCCAGGAGGCCCCCAGGAGGCCCCTCAAGAGGCCCCAGGAGACCCCAGACGTCCAAGGACGCCCCCAAGAGGCTCCAAGAAGCCTCCAACATGCGTCCCAAGAGGGCCCCTAGACGCAAGAATTGGCCCATTCCCTTCGTAAAACGTACATTTTTAACAAAGTCGCCTTTTGGGCTTTCCGACGTTACAGGACGGCCCAAGAGGCGCCCAAGACCGCCCCAAGACCGCCCAAGAAGTTTCCCAGAGGGCCCCAGGACAGCCCAAGAGGGCCCCAAGACGGCCCAAGAGGCGCCCAAGATGGCCCAAGAGGGCCCCAAGACGGGCCCAAGAGGGGGCCCAGAGGGGGACCACGAACCGCAAGCTCGAGCCTTCCGCCCCAAGAGGCCGCCAGGAGGCCCCCAGGAGGCCCCTCAAGAGGCCCCAGGAGACCCCAGACGTCCAAGGACGCCCCCAAGAGGCCCCAAGAAGCCTCCAACATGCGTCCCAAGAGGGCCCCTAGACGCAAAAATTGGCCCATTCCCTTCGTAAAACGTACATTTTCAACAAAGTTGTCTTTTGGGCTTTCCGACGTTACAGGACGGCCCAAGAGGCGCCCAAGACCGCCCCAAGACGGCCCAAGAAGCTTCCAAGAGGGCCCCAGGACAGCCCAAGAGGGCCCCAAGACGGCCCAAGAGGCGCCCAAGATGGCCCAAGAGGGCCCCAAGACAGGCCCAAGAGGGCGCCCCGAGGGAACCCCACGTGGGCCCAAGGAGGCCCAAGAGGGACCCAAGAGAGCCCCAAGAGAGCCCCAACATCGGTCACGCGGAAGAGCTCTCGCGTGACCGATGTTGGGCCCCTCTGTGGGCTCCTCTTGGAGCTCCGAGAGGAGCCAAAGATGGCCCCACGAGGGCCCCGACGAGACCCCAAGAGGACCCAAGCAGGCCCAAGAGGGACCCAAGAGAGCCCCAGCATAGGTCACGCGGAAGAGCCCTCGCGTGACCGATGTTGAGCCCCTCTTTGGGCTCCTCTTGGAGCTCCAAGAGGGGCCCAAGATGGCCCCACGAGGGCCCCGAGGGAGCCCCACGTGGGCCCAAGGAGGCCCAAGGAACCCCAAGATGGCCCCAACATCGGTCACGCGGAAGAGCTCTCGCGTGACCGATGTTGGGCCCCCTCTTTGGGCTCCTCTTGGTGCTCCGAGAGGAGCCCAAGATGGCCCCACGAGGGCCCCGTCGAGACCCCAAGAGGGCCCAAGGAGGCCCAATAGGGCCCCAAGAGGGCCCCAACATCGGTCACGCGAAAGAGCTCTCGCGTGACCGATGTTGGGCCCCTCTGTGGGCTCCTCTTGGAGCTCCGAGAGGAGCCCAAGGTGGCCCCACGAGGGCCCCGACGAACCCCAACAGAGCCCAAGAGGGCCCCAAGAGCGCCCCAACATCTCCTCTCCTTCCTCCTCCTCCCTCCTCTGCATCTTCCTCCTCCTCCTCCTTCTCATCCTCCTCCTTCTCCTCCTCCTCCTCCTCCTCCTCCTCCTTCTCCTCTCCAGGGGAATGAAAACCAGAGGATAGCTCACGGAGAGCCCAAGCACCCTCTTGTTGCATCCATCTTGGCTTCCAGATGGAGCCCAAGAAGGCCCCAAGGAGGCCCCTCAAGAGGCCCCAGGAGACCCCGGACGTCCAAGGACGCCCCCAAGACGCTTCGCGTCACCAATTTCTTCTCGCAACGATTCCTGGGTCTGTGACTCGACAGAACCTAAGCGCGCGCGAAGCGCGCGCGTGGTTCTAGTATGTATGTATGTGTGCATGCATGCATGCATGCATGCATTCATGCATGCACGTATGTATGTATGCATGTATGTATGCATTTATGCATGTATGCATGCATGCATGCACGTGTACATATATATATATATATATATATATATATATATATTTACACCAGCATACATATATATATAGATATACATCGGAGTAGGCCGTGGGTGGGCCCGGGCTGGTGCCCTATATATATATATATGTCTGTATGCATGTATGGTTGTACGCACGTATGTATGCCTGTATGGCTGTTTGTACGTGCGTATCTATGCATCTCTGTATGTATGTACGTACGTATGTATGTATGCATGCATGCATTCATGCATGCACGTATGTATGTATGTATGTATGTATGTATGTATGCATGCATGTATGTATGTATGCATGCATGCACGCATGCATGTATACACACATGCATATTTGTATGTATGTGTATATATATATACACGTGTATATATATATATA